CCAAGACCACTGTCCGCGCGATAACGGAGTTCCTGGGACGCCCTCTACCGGACTCACAGTTAGAAAATGCTATATCTAACACTTCCATCGATAATTTACGTAATAATCCAACGTCTGCGTGTAAAATTGATAATTGTAAAATAACATCGATGTTTAGTTAGCTGAAAGATTAGAATGGGTTATCACCGCAGTGTGTCAGTTTGTCAACGTAAAATATACGAACAAACTTGTATTTCAGATTTGGTACTTTCGAACAGCAGACCGGACGACTTATTTGTTTCTTTCCTATTCGAAACAGTAATGTTGTATTTGTAGTATTCATTCGTGTTCTGCCATCGGCGCAGGTAAAATACACATATCAGTATAGCAAAACAAAACCCTGGCAATGGCAAACCTCACTGCTGTAGAAGCACAATCGCCACCAACGTCCGAAAACACAAATAAGGACCAGCAACGATCTTTCATGACCATGGTAACGCCTGACCAAGCAGGAGGGGGTTATACAGTTGTATTACCTTCTAAGGCGTGTACAATACACCCACATATTGTTTGAGGATGACGTACAATCTTGATACAATGACGTCTTAAACCCATTACTTTTGTAAATCGTAAAAGTAACGTTTTTGCGAATATTACGCACAGATATTAACATATACACAGTTATGCATAATAACTCGCTACATAACTGTGCATTCAATTATATATCACGTGATTTCTGCTGTTAATGTTGCAACAATAAATCTACACAGATTTAACTACTTTAACTGATTTAACTACTCAGTGCTGTATTATGTTATTCACAGTCTCTTCACCACTGAATGTTAATTAACCGTTTCACTACAATATACAACTTTTTCACCTTACGCGAAATAGTCCCTTTCATCCAAACTGTTGTTTTAAATGTTTTGCTTAAATATATATGAAATACCATGACCTGTATTTGCTTCAAAATTAACGAAAATAAAAAAAAATCCACAGACCGTATTACATGTCTCACGTACTATTCTTTTTTTTTTTTATAAATAACGTAAAATTTATTAATCTTCGGCATTTATTATTAGAAAGTATCATCAATGCTAGAACTAACACTACGCTACGTAGAGGTTGGCTCAATATCATCGGCCACATCGTGAAACTATGCGCTCTGCAGCCCGTACAAGACCCGATACTGTTTTTCACTATATCCAGTGTTGCCTGAGTGTGCTCTACGCTGGTTGCTTTGTATAGTTGGTTGTCATCTGCATAAGCATGGTGCTGTACAGAGTGTTGTTTTATGAGATTGAATAACGGCTCTGTATATAGGACAAACAGAACTGGTCCCAGAACGTAACCTTGAAGAACGCCACAGTTGAGCACATAACTTGTATCCATTAACAACAACAGTCTGGGTCCTGCCAGTGATGTAGTACTCAAACCAAATCAAAACTGGTCCAGATATACCAAATGTATGTTCAAGTCGATGAAGCAAAATGTTGTGATCGACGATGCGGTTTCTGTACTGTGGTGTTTTTGATATGCAGACTCATGAGTATTAAGCAGATGGTTAGTAATAAGATGATCGTTTAGCTGCATCAGGACTACTCTCTCTTTATTTTTTGAAAGAATTGGAAGATTCAATACCGGAAGATAATGTTTCAGTTCATTTGCATTCAGTGATGGTTTATTTTTCTTCTTTTTTTTTATATTATCGTCATATCAGTTTAATACATTACTTAAATAATAATATTTTTATACACTACAGAAGAACACTTTATACGGGTTTAACCGTATCAATTAATGATGCTGTCCATTTCTTACTTGCCTTTTCATAATTTAGATGTAGTTCATTATTAATGGTTGTTTTGAGCTGGGACATAAACAAAAGCAAAAATCGTTCTTGGGTGGCATTTATTTTGGCAGCATCTCTTAAAGAGAGAGTGCATGGCAATAGTTAGAATTCGGTCGACAATTAATATGTTTGTTCCGGTAATAAGTGTTCTCATGTTTAACATTACGTCAGTGCCAAAGTAGATAAAGATAAAACATCTGATTTTGCCCCAGAAAATCCGTACATCAATACAATTATAGAATATATGGAGACTATCTTCAACGACGAAACACTTATCA